CTTGCACCCAGAGCAGCGACAGCCAGAGCTCGGCTGCTTCTGTGCCACAGAGCAGGGACAGCCAGAGCTCGGCTTTTTATGTTTTTCTGTAACATTGCTCTCTCAGGCGAGCCTCTAGGGAAGGGACTTCACGTGAGGAACTCGCTCGCTCCAAAGAAAGCATACCTTTTTTTCATGAATTAGAATTTGGGGGTTGGACTAGATGACCTCTAGAGGTCCCTTCCAACCCAAAACTTTCTATGATTCTATGAAGTGAGCATGATTACTTCATGTTTATGATAGAATACAGTTCCTTAACTCTTGTATAACGCTATACCAATTATAGATAATTTCTTTCCTCTGGTTTGTTCTCTATGTTGCTAAATGTCATCTTTTTGACCTACACTGAAACATGACAGGGTAAGGCTGGGGGGTGGTGGGTTCCCCCCCCGCCTTTTAACTCCACTGGAACACACACCATGAGAGGAACAATGGCTTTGAGGTTGGTATTTGGTTAGATGAGTGGTTCCCAGCTTGTCACAGACCCTGTTAGACACTGGTTAGGACCAACTTTTAAAAGGCAGAAGTAGAAAAAGAGTAAATGAGTAGTGTATCATTTATTTGAGTTAGGTTACAATACACAGACAAGTAGGACACTGAAGTTACTACTGACATTTTTGCATCTGCAGATAACATGAGTGACATTCTGTATACCAGCGACCTAATAGTAATTGAGAAGTTGTTTGCATAAATACAGACACTGGAATACATGTAACTTCACAGTTAACAGCAGTATGTTACAACTTTACACTTTAAATTACTACACCAGAGTCTGAGTAACATTGGTTACACATCAGCAGTGGTCCCACTATTCAGGATACAACCAGACTGAAGATGAGAACACAGTAAACAAACTGAGAAACAACCAACAGCAACAAAAGCCCCGGTCATGGCATATGGGAATGATGGGTACTGTCCCCCCTGCTGGGAAAAGTTACAGCTCGTTACCAGATTAACAGATCTGCTGCGAGTTCAGTAAGACTGCACCTATGAGCAAAACTGCCCCCTCAAAACCCTTAAAATCTTTTCTGGAAACAAAACGAACCGAGAGTAGAAAAAATAAAAGGGTAAGAGACAGTATTAAATACAGCAGGTAACATATGGAATAGCACAAGTTTTGGTTTTTATTAGAGTAAGTTTCTATTCTTATAAAACAGTTGCCTTGCACAGTTTGACCAGGCAGCTCAATGTCTATGTACCAATGGCCTTCACACATCAAAGTCCCATTTGTGGCTGTCCTCTGTGCAGGCTTCTGTCTTCTTGAAGTGACATTCTGAGGCAATACTACAGGTTCTCACATAGTCATGTGCTCTGGTAAAACATAGGATATGTCATCCCACGGGTGACGGTACAGACCTTGCTTCAGTCGCTTCTGATCCAGGTAGTGTCCTAAAACAAAAGTCGTTTGTGTTACAAAATTTCTGCTCCTCCTCCTAGTCTTACTCTGCCTTGAATTAACTTTGATTTCTGTATTTCCACAACTACCATTTTAGACCGAGTCCCCAGAGGTTCGCGTGTCTCCTGTTCATGGTGGCAGGGCATCCCCTGGTAGGGGGAAGGGGCAGAAAGATGGCAGACTTACCAATGAATCCCATACTCCTGCCTAGTACAAAGATGCCATTAAGAGCTCCGATATCAATATATTCATCTGCTTCTTCCCTGCAAGAGAAAAGAAATTAAGTAGTTCCTCAGAGCAATCTACTTAAGGAATCAATCTTAGAAAGGCAACGAGTCTGCTCTAGTGCCAGTAGCAACACCGAATTAATTTAAAAGCTTCCTTCCCCCAGGTCCAGGCTACATTTCCTTCATAAGATCCTTGTGAAACCCTGGCCCCGAGACGAGCTGGCAGTATGGCTCCCATCATTTTTACAGGACCATGACCTGAGAGAAACAGCCCAGTACCTACTTACCGTGTGAAAGAGCCACAATTCCTGAGTACGTCAACAAAGGCAACTCCAATAAAGCCATCTACATTCAGGATAAGATTTGGTTTCTGCAAGAAATGAAAAGACAGCCCAATAAAGATGTTAACGGTGGCAAACGATGTTCACCTGGTAACTTCCACCCTCAAGGGCAATTTGAGGGTTGTCCATAATTGTGGACACACAAGCCTGGCAACAGAGAAGGCTGTTCAGCACCTTGTGCAGAAGCACGCCTCATGAATGATGGAACACCAGCCCCGAACAATGGCTCTGTGTTCGGTTCAACCACAGAGCTCAGCTGCCACAGCCCACCACGGCCGAGAGCTCTGCCTCAGATCAGAGCAATACAGTGGTTCCAGGCATACTGTGGACAACACAGGTAATGGGGTTTGGTTTGTTCGGCATTTTCCCCGTGTCCAAATGTCTTCACCCTTACCAAACTGTAGCTGTACTTGGCCCACAGCCTACCACAGAGAAACAAAAACCCAGCAACAATTTATGAAGGGCTGCAATTAAAATAGAGTATTAACCCCCAAGTCACTTGTCCCCCAGTAAGAAAAAGTGCTCAAGAGGAGAGGTGCATTTCACCTTGGAAGTTGTAATTTTTTCTACTTCAAGTGCATAGTCCAACAGCGGGGTGGCAGGGAAATGCTGCTTCACGTAGTCTTTGAGAATCTGAACTCTCATGTCTGGGTTATTTATCTGCAAGTTAAGAACACATTACAGTCACTGACGTTGCCTCTTACACAGGTACTTGCCATAAGCTTTGCTATTTCTAGGTTTAGGATTTAAGTCCTGAGAATTTGGTCAGTAGCTGCCTCTGAAAGCTGCTAATTTTCTTTCCTTTGTTTTTTTCTTCCCCCCACCTCTCCATAAAAAAACCAGTCTCCAACTTGTATTAACGCAGTTTTCTTACTGATTTGACTCTGTGTCCAATGCCCATGATCAGTTTCCCTTCTTTCTTCATCTTATTCACAAACTCCATAGGGATAATCCCACTATCGAAGGCTTTGCTGAACATTTTCGCTGCAGCATCCAGCGCTCCACCAAACCGGTCACCCTGGGTGCAATACACAGAGGGGATTACAGCAAAGGACTCCACAGTTAAGGTACAAAACAAGCACAAGATTATCTTCCCCATCTGCCCTGCCTATCAATGTGGCATTCATGAAATTAAAGTCAGGCTGGCACCTGGGATGAAGCATCTGTTTATAACTCCCCACACGTGTCAGTACGTAGCCAACATCTCCACTGGAGACAGAGCGTGAGGGGAAGTGCAGTCGAAAGTCAGCTTCATCCACACTTTTACTTGTCAGTGTTAGAAAAGACTATGCAAACATACCAGGTCAATGCTGACAGCAGTTTGGCCTCTGCCACACTCAGAAAAGAGATCAAAACAGTCTTGCTTACTAGAAAAATGGACTGGGTTTTAAACCTAGAGCATCAAGCTATTAGAGTTGAACTCAACAGAAATTCAAAGCGTGAATGAACAGACACAACCCGTCCATGGCCCTGCAGCCAATCTAAATCTTAAATTAATAGTAATCAAACCTGGAGACAGTAATAAATAGCAAAGCTAGCTCTTCTGGAGGTGAAGTACTTACAATAGTAAGAAGGCCTGAAGTGAGGCTCGAGACCAGGTCTTTTCCAGCTCTGGCACAGACAATGGTGTTGTGGGCTCCAGACACCGCAGGCCCGTGATCTGCGGTTACCATCAAACACATCTCAATGAACTGGCAGGCGTACTTTGGTAACCTGAGCAAGGAAGAGACTGAAGTCATTTATCCTAAAGAAAACCAAACGACAAGACCCCTGGAGTTATACTGGAGCGTGACTGTTGCGTTAGGTACATGCTCGAAAGAAGCAGAACAGAGCAAGGGAGCTGCAGGGTGACGACACCCCCCAGCACATCCTAATGCCCTTCCCAGAGATCAGATTTTCATTCAGCTTCCACAGGAGCCCTTTAGCTCAGAGCTGAGGGTCAGTTTTGTACGCCGAGTTTGCACACACTCAGCAGACTCAGCTCTCTTGTGGGCAGCCACGAGGCTGTGCTACAGTTCTGTGCATCCTGTTCTGCTGAGCCAGCGATTTCAGCTAGTGCCGAGAGTGCCCCTAACGAAAGCCCGATCAGATGAAGGCAGCAAACTGCTGCCATTCGGAACGTTCCCTGTAGGCTGGTTAGCAAATGTTTGTAAACTCCCCAGTCTCTCCAGGGTCGAGGTGACAATTATAACAAGCAAGTAGTCAGAGAGAGTGAAACAGGCCTAGAATGAAGAAGTGCACCACAAAACTTGTGGAAAACTTAATCCCAAGACTAAAACACACTGTACAAAGCCTCAAAGTGCTGATGTGGTCTCAGAAGAGGGAACAGAGATGGCATTTCCAGTGACTCTGTGTACACCAAGGAATCCTGGAGTTCCTGTTTTGCTTAAAAGTCTGTTCATAAACAAGAAAAACTTAAAGCCAAAGAATCCTTGAGCCTTCACAAAAGCTGCCTCACCTCCTTTGAAACCAGAGCAGGCCCAGAACTCCTCCAATTCCCATCTCTTCCTTGAAGACCTCGGTGATTGGCATCCCAGCATAAATCAGTTCCTGACCTCTCTCGTCGCAGATGCTTGTCATAAAGGAAGCCGGTTTGCGAATCAGACCCAGCTCCTGAAATTGCAGCATAAAGATAGGATTTTAAACAATCCACATTAGAAGCGAGGGGCAGTAGAGGCAGAGTGGTCAAACAACGATGCCTTAAGCTTGCCCTCAGAGCAGCTTCCACAGCCTAGGCAGTGAGCTCACAAATAACGCTACAAAGTGTGAGATAAAACCCCAAGGCAACACCATTATTGCCACAAACATCCAGAATCACAGCAAACATCCTGTCTGGTTTCTAAGGAACAAAAAGCAGGTCAAACAGCACAGCTCACCCTTGCCCAGGAGTAATCCATCGGCACTGTTGGAGGAGGCACTTCTTCAGCTGGTTCAATCACTCTCTTGGCCACAAGATCCTGGTAGACAGACCTAGGGAGAAGCCATTTATTAACTTACGTTAATAAATAAGTTAAGGTCATAATCTATACCTTGAAAACCCATAATGAATAGAAGTTGCTTTCTTTAAGCAGGAACATATCTCTTTATTGGACTAGAATCAGCGCCCTAACAGTTTTTGTCCCCTGCTGAAGGTGCCCTGTTCGTGTGACTTACTGAATGACCTCTCCCAGCTCATCAAAACTCCGGGGAACAAAGACACCAGCTTCTTTCAGGGCTTGATTCTTTGCGACAGCAGTTTCAGAAGCCTGGTTGGCACAGGCTCCTGCAT